GTCAGTCATTAGCAGCTAACAAACATGGAGTTTCTTTTGCCAGTCTGCCACAACATCTGTAGAAGGGAGACTTGTGAAATAAAGCAATGGAAGTAGCAGATAGTTAGAGTCTTTGTTTACCTATTGTTGAACTTCCCGGAAAGCAAGTCACCTCAGCCAGGGACTCCAGCGTCCCTGGCCTCAGGGTAGCGCTCACCTGCTGCTTCTCACCGTGGGTGTTTCCACTTTAACTGCAAGGAGTATTTCGTTTCTTCACTCCACCATCGCTGTGTTTAAGGTGAGGTCTACTTCCAGTACCGGGGATTCCAAGCCAGATGCTCTGATGCCGCCTGTGAAGAGTGGTGGCCACTGGTAAAGGCTGGGTCCCTGCTCTGTGAGGGGCCTCAGCCATGGCCTCTCTGCCACAGCTGCCCACACAGTCTTTTCACCTCCGTTCTTGGCAGTGGTCCCCGGGACCGGGAAGGCCATCATGGGAAGCTGGCCCTCTCTCTGGCTTCCACCGGGGCTCTGAGGAAGCCTTTGTAGCCTTCCGACATGGACAGCAACTCCAGGGAACTGTGTCATCAGGAACCCAGCCCAGTCTCTCTGGGTCCTTCTCTGGGAAGGCAGTGGCCACCCAGCTAAAGTCTAGACTCAAAACAGGGACCATTCCAGGTCCGCGGAGAAGCCTCCCCAGTGGAGGTGCCCACAGACAGGCGCTTTCGGGGCAGCTATCAGAGATGAAGGTTTCTCCTTTTTCATTGAGAGCATCTAGAGCAGGGGTTCTCGACCTTCCTCATGCCGTGACCCTTACATACAGTTTATGTTAGGGTGACCCCCAACCATCACATTATTTTTGTTGCTACTTCATAACTGTCATTTTGCTACTGTGATGAATTTTCATGCACATATCTGATAGGCAGGATGTGTTTTCATTGTTACAAATTGAACATAACTAAAACATAGTGATTCATCACAAAACAATGTGTAATTATATTTTGTGAAATATTTCTAATTGCAAATCAATGAAATTTTGTCTTGAAGCATGATGTAGCATGGGTAAGTCTTCACGCTGGGTACTCCAAGGTGGGCTTCTCTGCGTGTGGGAGGACCTGCCTGGAGACAGATAGAGGAGTGGTGTCTGGGTTCCTAAGACCCTCCGAAATATGTGTTTTCCGATGGCCCTAGGCAACCTCTGAAAGGGCTGTTCAACGCCCAAAGGGGTCGTGACCCACACGTTGAGAACCGCTGGTCCAGACCCCAAGCTGTCAGAAGCTGTATGTAGCTCATGGGTACCCCTCCCAGAATGGGAAGCCATTCTTTAAATTTATTTTTTACATTTTTATGGGCACCTGATCCACATATCGTAAAAGTCAATAGTTCAATTGTTCAATCATAGCAAGCAGAAGTCTGCAAGCACCACCAGGATCGCCTTTGAAACGAGTTGTGAAATCAACATCAGTAAGAGTGCTCCCTCCCTGACTCAC